CCCCAAAACCCCAAAACCCCAAAACCCCAAAACCCCTCGAGAGAATTCGTATATAGAAAGTTTAAAATAATAGAAGGTTATGATCTTTTTCATCTATCCTCTTCTTCATATCTTTCATCATTCCGATATACTTAGGATTAAGCTTTGAGATCCTTTCCATTGTGGTGAATACACCTTTGCCTCTATCCTGAATGTAATGTGCTTTTGAGGGATCTTTTCCATAAATAAAGGCCTTTTTGTCTCTTCTGAACTGTCTTACTCACGAGTCTACATATTTCTTGCCAAGTGTGAGGACTTTCTTAGTCTTCTCAATTGATTCCTTATGTTCTGTAAGCTCTGACTTCAGTCTCTTATGGATCTTTTTGACCAACTTCTTTTGTCCTCTGGTCACCCTGAGACTCTGATCTCATTTCCTGATGCAGTTGTTGATTATCTACAATTAGTACTAAAAGTACTTCAAAGTCTTTGTAATTAGGATCCAACTTTGCTTGAGCTACTGAATCTGCCCAGGCTGGTAATATTGGAACGCTCCTTCTCTGCTTCTATAAATGAGTATAAACAAATTACACCTGTCTTAGGTCTCCTCTTGGCTGATTTCAACCTAACTCTTTCTGTAATCACACTAACAGATCTCAAATTATTGCCTCTAGGAGGGATTTCTTGGGCCCTTCTTGAAGCATTCACACTGGCTGTAGACGGCCTAGTCCTGCTAAATGAATTTGTCTTCCTTGTGAGGGCACTAATAACATTCCTCTTCTTAAACTTTCTCTTCAGATGATTAAGCCCCTTTTCTTTACATGAATTTTCATCTTTATTTTCTCCAGTATCGATTTGTGAATTGTCAGCAGCAAAGGAGATCTTTGGGGTTTCTTCGGCTATTTCGACAAAATTAGACTCAGTCTTATCAATTCCACCCTCTGCATCTTCATGGAACCTTAGGTTATTTTCCTTGATACCGTAGTTAATCATAAACGGAGCACCAAGTTCTGGCTCTTTCTCTGTCCGTTGGGTTTGAATTATATAATCATTCATCTTAAATGTGCTCTGGCTAGAGTGTTGGGACACTTCAATGTCTGTTTCATCAATAACTTGGCCAAGCTTATTCTCTACCTTCTTGAATCCTCAAAATGTAGGGTCATTTGCGAGGAGATAGTCAAAGTATTGGTCCCGTGTAACTCTAAGGTTCAGGTTTAGAAGGCAACATTTCCTGCTGTCTTTAATATCTTCGTGCATAGAGTCCTTTTCTAGCTCTTCACAATTTCTTCTTACTTGGATTACCTTATTTTCACCCTTATGTTTTCAGGCACTTCTTCTTTTGTACTTCTATGAAATGTATCAGGTTGTGTAAACTAGCTGGATGAATGGAAAAATTTAAAACTGTTAAATGTGTAAATTTTAGGTAAATTTTATTCATATTATCTGTTATCTTGAAAATATGCATTTTTATTTAAAAAATTATATCAAAGAGATTGTTAAAATTTACCTTTTGGCCTTTGAGCTTATTTTTAGTCTTAGCTTTCTTCTTATCTGGACTCGCCAATCTTTGGTACCATTTCGGAGACACCATAGATAACCTTTTGTTTAGATGGGTTCGCTTCATTTTCTTCCTATCTTGAAGATCTTCAACACGGACCTTCTGTTCAAGGTTTGCTAATTTGAGTAAATATTTCTTATAAGCGACATAGTCCAGATCATTATTATCTAAATTATAGGCGTCCAAAATTCGATAAAGGCTGGAAACCATATTGTTGTTGTCAGAATCATGCTGAAAATTGTTGCATTCCAACTTCGCCTTCTTGATCTGTGCTGATCTCTCTTCAAATACTTTCTTCTAAACGTGATTTTAATAACTGTTAACTAGGTGAACTTACCATTATTTGCTTAAAAATCTGCTTATGATACTTAGACATATAAGGTTCTGTATAATCCTTAAAGAGGACTTCCCAGAAGTCATTGATCTTCTGTTTCATTTCAGAGAAGTCAGACCAGTCCATGTTTGAAATAATTTTATAATTTTCAATATTTCAGAATTAAGAAGGGGTTTTGGGGTTTTGGGGTTTTGGGGTTTTGGGG